GGGTCCAGTTCCAGTTTTGATAAATTTCCCTCATTGTCTCTATTCATCCTGGTGAGCGATGTCACTGGAATTGGAAGTGAGGGAAGATTCAAAGTATTGAGCCGACACCAGAGAGCAGGACTAGAGGGGACAGCTTCCAAAGGGGACACTTGTTCTGGTGACGATTGTCTAAAAGAGGATTTCCTTTGGTGTGGAGAGATTTCCTCCCGAACAGGAAGTGAAGGAAAATCGAAACCATGTCCTGACTTTATACACATCAAGGGTGATAGCTCTCTGATTATTGGACACTAATGCTCTTTATTTGTTTTGCGTAGAACGGTGGACATGTTTCTGAATGATACCGGAACTCCAAACTCTGAGACCCAACCGGATGAGGAAGAAGAGCCTCTGGTGAGACCGATCTGCTATTCATTATTAGCATGAGCTGTTATACCGCGTTTCCCCCGAACATAAGACACTGTCATATATTTTTTTGGGCTGAAAAAAACACAATAGGTCTTATTTTCAGGCAGGGGCGTCCCGAGGCTGGGTGACACCCGGAGCGGTGTCCGAGTGTCACCCCGCCGAGACATCACCACGCATGCGCGTGGCGTCACCACGCGTGTGTGCGATGACGTTATCACGCACGTGCGGCAGTATTCTGATACCTGCCGGCGGCCATCTTGGTGATGGACGCCGGCAGAGAGAGGAGGGGACAGCCACCCAGCGGGATGAGGTATGCCGCCGGGTCCCCTTCTCTCTTTCCTGATACTGTCAGGCGTTCGGTCCATGACCGAGCGCCCGACTTTTCAGAGGGGGGTGTAAGTCATTTTGGTGTCACCCCTCCAATGGTGTCACCCGGGTGCGGGCCGCACTCCCCCGCACCCCCCTTGTGACGCCACTATTTTCAGGGTAGGTCATATATTTTAAAATATGACCTACACTGTACGATGGTGGGTTCTAATGAAATGTACACCAGGCCTCAGCTGTTTTCTTTTACAATTGTAGCCAACACCGAGGGTATCCCTTTGGTCAGTATAGCAGTGTATGACCTCCAAGTAAGCTACCTATTTATCAAAAGTAAAGTGTAAGTAAGTGTACTTTTGGTGGAAAAAAACAATCCTTCATCGACCAGTTATAAACATTGCAATGATTGTAGTAAATGTCATTGTCCTACCTGCTGCTGTATGTATTTAAGCTCACACATGGATTCCAGTCACTTCCTACTTCCTGCAGCTACTTCCTGTTTGGATAGCTGTAGTCACATGATCAGTCCCACCATTGCTTGGTGACGTGCTAATAGTGTTCAGAACTTTCCCACCGTAAAACACCACGTTTGAAGTCTTTGCCAGCTTTAGAAAATCATAGTTGACTGCAATGGAACTCATTTTATTTAACAGAGCTTGCGTAGCGATCACAAATATGATATCAATGGATGTCTCTCAGTATGTGTTGAAGAGGAACTTTATTTTTCATTTCCCCTCTTACCTTTAGGGTTGCCACCTGTCCAGGATTCACCCGGACAGTTCGGGTTTTGAATGCTGTGTTCGGGTTTCATGGCAGCAGAAACCCGGACACAAAATGTCAGGCAGACAGGGGCAACCAAAATTAAGATAGGGGCTACTGGCCCCCCATTGAAAATAGTCTCAACTGTGATATTTACTTATGAATGGGCGGCACTATGTACATATGAATAAGCTACGACCCCATTCTCCCAAAAAAATGTCCCTGCGTTGCTAGATTGTTCGGGTTTCGCTTGAAGAAAAGGTGGCAACCCTACTTACCTTATCTTATGGGTTGTCCTCGAAAAACATGCTCACACGCAGGCCCGGATTCCCCACAAGGCCACCGAGGCCCGGCAGGGAGTAGAGGGGCGGCAGCGGTGTGGAATCCCCCGACGCCCGGGAACATAAAGTTCCGGGCGGTAAGTTGCCTTCTACATTTAGTCCTGCTTTGGAAAGGCGGGACTAAATGTAGTGTGAGGAAGCGACACGTTCATTTACAAGTGATCGCGGCGATGTCGTCACGATCACATGTAAAATGTGTGCAGCCGGTCCATCCGTCCGACCTCCCCTCCCTTGCACCTACCTCTCTCCTCTGGTTCTGTCCTCCCCCCGGTCGCCGAGTCTCTCCTCACTGGCCGCCGATGCAGGGAGCAGAGCGGCAGGGTTGAAACTAACCCTGCCGCTCCGTGTACACAGTGGGAGGGGGGAGCTGTGCTAGAACTCCTGTATTGGAGGTGACAGGTTCAATAAAGCAACAAAGTTAAGTGAAAAAAACATTAATCCACTGATGCCGCCATCTTCCTTTCCAACGTGATTGGGAGCCAGATTTCTCTGACTGGTTCAGCCAGCCAGCCACTGATGAAGCCAGGTATGCCCTCCCGCAGGTTGTAAGAGATCGGAGCTAACCGCACATGCGCCAAGAGCGAGTCATCGCAAGAATGGGAATAGTTGTGCGCTACCTGCGCATGCGCCAAGGGCGCGTCTTCGTATCAACCTGAGCATGCGCAGACACGTGGATCCAGCAAAGCGGGAACACGCCATGGAGGCGCACAGAAAGTGACCTATCCTAATCATTACTTCCTGTATATAGGCCTAGCATGGACACTGCCAAATTGCTGGATTATCTTCAGTCTCTCCTGTTTCCTGTGCTTTTGTGATATCCAGTTGGACTTGTTGTGACCCGGAATTATCTTGACTACGCTTGACTGCTGCCTGCCCTGGACCCCGGATTTGTGTATGGACCATTCTTCTGCTTAACCCTTCTGTACTTCGTTTGCCCGATTGGAACTGACCCCGGCTCATCTACTGGATTTTGGCTTGCGCGGTGCTCCTCACCAATGGCACTCGTGCCACTCGGTGTCCGCCAGGTCTCTGTACCCATCCCCAGAGGCCTCAAGACCCGATGTGCAAGGAAGGCCTCCTCACAATTACAGTCTCGACCCAGGTACGTGACACAGGTGCTGTTGAAGCTAATGCCTCCTGAGATACGTGACCTGCATTCGCCAGGGGGCTTCAGGAGTGGAGGAGGCGTCATTCTTGTCTAAGCAAGAATGGAGGCGAGGGTGGGGTGAGTGAAGGGTATAAAAAAGGTGTTTTGTATGAGGGAAGGTCCGCTTTCAGCTGGTCAAAGACACTGTAGAAAAGTACGATGTGCATGAATAATCCATGAGATCTCCGGTCATAGCAGCATTCCTGTTTGAGAAATAGGGGAAGCAGGAAGAGCTGTGCACATTCAGTAAATGTGATCACTGATATGTACATTTTGGTTGGTGTATTATCCTTGTTCACTGTTGGAAATATATTAATGCCTCTTCTTACTGGTCCTGTCTCTCTATACAGATCAGCACTCCTCTGGAACTGTTGCGGGCCGAATGTGACAGAGATGGGGTGGTCAAATCCAGTAAGTGCACTTCATGGGAGGGAAAATGGTAGAAAGACTGGAGGAGCTTTTAAACTAGAAAGTGGGGGGTAGGGTATAAAAATAAAATTACTTAAACTAAACGTTGATAATTTAATCATAGATAAAAATAACACAGAAAGTAGTAAAAAAGGAGTTAATAATAGTGGGCTCACTCCAGTCAATATAGGAAATCCGTTGGCACATGTAAGTATAACTAACAACGGACGACCGAAATCAAGGCAGAATAATAACAATAAAAATAGTGGGGAACAACAAGGTAGTAAACTTTTGTCCCACAAAAAGAGAGGAATTAAATGTATGTACACCAACGCACTTCCATTGAATCAGTTTGTATCCCCTGAATCAGATCTGGAGAGTGCGTTGATGACTGTAGAGGAAACACTTTCCGTTACAATGTGTCCTCTAACCCAGTGTTCCCCAAACCCCGGTCCGCGGACCGGTAATGGTACCGGGCCGCACAGTCTCAGTGCGGTCCGGTTATGCAATATATGGCAGTGCATGGTCCCGGTGTTCGAACACCGGGGCCCCGCACTGCCAACGGGCTTCACAGTGAGGGGGCGGGTCCTGTGACTCACCTCCCGGCCGCGTCCATAGTAACAGGCGGCGGG